CGTTTTTGTTCCATCCAGCCAGAGGCAGAGTTGAACTCTCAGCGCCGTGCGCGGGGCCGGGGAGCAACGGTGCGAGGGTCACTAACGGCGCACCGCCGGGCAGTCCCCACTCGCACCGCGCCCCCCGCCTTGGGTCAAGCACGGCACGAGCTGCCGCTGAGGGTATCACTGGGCCTCGAACTCGTCGATCGCCTGCTGAATCCTGCGCTCGAGGTCCCCTGGTGGCGCCACTCCTTCGAGCTTCACTGCTTTGTCGCGTAGCCACAACGGAACCAGGATTTGCTGCAATACCTTCTCGCTGTCGCTGTTGGGCTTGACGTTGACCTCCAGGCGCTTGGTCTTGCTGTCGTAGGTCTTGCAGCATCGTGCATATTGAACTTCTTTCAGGAGATTGTGAAGGTATTTGGACGTCTCGGGGCTGCCTTGTTTCATCTTGTCGATGTACTGCTGAAGACTGGTGGCCTTCGGCGGGTCGAGGTCTTTCACTCCAAGAGACGTCTTCGCCACGATGATCCATGCATTCCAGACGTGTACGTGAGGATGAGCGAGGGCTGCGATCTTCTGTTGCTTCTGGTCCTTCCCGTACTGCTTCGCGGCCTCCGCATAGCTCTCGGTAGAATTCTTCCCCTGGACGAAATACTCGGAGCTCTCGCTCACCTGATAGTTTTCCAATACGATGGCCCTGAGAATCCTCGACGACATAGCAGTACTGAGGGTCAACTTTGCTATGAGAAGAACGAGGGCCTGCAGGTCGTGTTGATTGGCTCCTTTGCGTCGCTCCTTCTGTGGCGGTCTGGCGCCGCCTGCTGCTAGGCCGAGATCCATCAGCACTCTCTGAGGGACCAGTAGGATGAAGAATGCTGAGAGTATCGGATGCTGAGAACTCCAATCTTCTTGGACCAGAGAGATGCTTGGTACGGATATGATGATTGTACACGTATATGTCGTCGCACTCGTAATTATTGCCGTAGAGCTTGCATATAGCGCATGAATATGTTGTGTCCGATACAATAGGAGGCGAGGGGATAAAGCTCTGGTCGACAATACATCTACCATAATGCCAACTACGCCTTGCGTGATCTTGTGCAATTTTACGAGTAGAGAAGTGTGTAGAACACCATGGACATACTGCCTCTAACACGATGGAGTCTAACGTAATCATGCCGTGCATGGACTGTTCGCGTGCCCGGTGTAATCTGAGCGCTTTCATGGTGGGGAACGTAAGTGTGCATATGTTACCATCAGTGCGCATGAGACCACAATAATATTCACCTGTAGGTAAAGAACATGATGATGTAGTAGGATTTAGCGTGTCATACTCATGGTGATGAGGAGGTATGTTGACTGAGAGGAACTTAGCACGCAATGCTGAGATATCGATCTCGAGAAAGTCTTCCTGCAATGTGCCAGCGTCTAGCAACTGCCGCGGGGATACATCTTCAAGAAAATAAGCACACTCCAGCAACGATAATGCCTGCAAGTCTTCATTCAGCTGCTGCAACCAAGGGTGAGAAATCGCATCTTCTGGGGGGTCGTGAGGAAAGCGACCGAACATAGCGGTGACGTACAATTGATGATGAAGAGGATGACTGCATATCTTCTGAAACCATTTCAATCTCTGTATACGTAACTCTGTAAGTGTGTCTGCCATGCCGATGTTGCGCCACACTTCGATCGATGGAATGGGTCGATACTTAATCGTGCCGTCGTCGAGAAGGGTCTTTTGGGTAGCCTTGCCTTTCATGAGTTTACGTGCCTTGTACAGTATATATTTGTCGAAGATGTTGTAGTCGTGCTGGGTGAGGACGAAAGCTGTGAGCCCTGAGACAAGTGCTGACCATACTGTGCATCGAAATACGAGAACGCGAAAGCGAAGATCAGTGCGAGTGAACCAAAACCTTTTGAATATAAACCATGCTTTGTTGGCAGCTTGTATCCTTAAGTTTCGCTCGACATAGAAGCAATTGCGGTAGTGTAAATATGGCCCGAGATATCGTGCTGCGCTGAGTACTTTGTATTGTGACTGTTGTGCATGTACTTGTCGTTGATATGCATGCGCAAGCGTGCCGACGAAGTGTACGGTGGACTCGCTCTTGCCCGTGTGCTGCGCGATCGTGTACTCGTCGAATATGGTGTTCAGGACAGTGTCGTGCCGTGCTTGAGTATCGTAGAAGCTCGTAGGTGTAGTAACCGTGTACTGCTTACATAGATCGTCGACGAAGGAGGTGATGGACATGTCGATGACGGCCGCATTGAGAGGAGATACGGCCAGTAGATGATGATCTTTCGTTTTTTCCTCCCATGCGTGAACAGCTTGCCAGTGCGGTACGTGAAACTCGTTGGTCGCGACACTGTTGCCTTGGAACGTGCCGCTGCGAGGATAAAATTCTGCGGGAATATCCGATGTCTGTAGAACACACGTGGCATGTCGGTGATGCTGTCGTAGTAGCCGTTCGTCCTGTTCAGCGACGTGAACTGGCGTAGCCTCCTCTTCTTCGGGAAAGTCATCGTCGGGTTGAGGCATCATCAGAAAGTGAGTAGCTTTGTCCATAATGTCATGAGACGGCGAAGCGAACGCGTTGACCACATCGTAGTGGTGATTGGCGATACTGATACCATGTTTGGAGCACCGATGAGAAACCAACATCTTGACAAGAATAGCTTCTTCTCGACGGCGGCCAGGAACAGCAAACGCGTGATGAGGTGGAGGCCGCGAAGGTTTGCCAGGCCGACGTAAAAGACCTTTGTGATAAGCCTTGGAAAACGATGATATGCTGTGAACGATTCGAACGTCATCTTTTTTGGGAATTTGAAAACCTTGGCTGCGATGAAACTGAAATGGACTGTGACCAGTAGCCCGTGTCATGTCGAGGATGTGCTGAAGGCGTTTGACGAAAAGCTTCGGCTCGTAAAGTGTGGGATCATGACCAACTCCATGTGTCTCCTGCTTGTAGACTGCCTGGGGCCACAATATCATTTTCCAGACTTCGTTGGGGACATCCCAGGAAGGAGGCGTTCTACGATTTGAGCTTTTTCGTATCCACCAGCTGACTTGTTTGAGGTCATATTCACCAAGTAAGTGGCACTGATAACTAACGTGAACTTCGTCATCATGATCGTCGAAGAATTCCTGACGTACTTGTGAGGTAGGTAAACGTATGCAATTCCAGCCGCCTTGAGAACCAGGTTGAGAAAGTTTGGCAAACCATTCGGCTTCTGAGCGCCGTCGAAGTGCAGCTTTGTGATAATTACGAAGTCTTCGTCCAATGCGTCTGCCTGTAAGAAGTCGTGCCAATTGCCATGCTTCAGCCAGTCGTCGTTGTCGCCAGGCGTCTTGAAGCTCGAGACGTCGTTGTTCGTTAAGTTCTTTGAGACGTGCAGCGTGAAGGCGACGAATATTACGATTGACACGAAACAGTGATGCCAGATTATGCCAGTGCTGAAACGAGTAGTAAAGAATGCCATGTTGTGAAACGACAGGCGCTTGTAGGCACTGAACTCGTAGCTCCCGTCGTTGTCGAAGTAGCTCTTGACGTTCATGAGAATGCGGTCCAGCTTGTTGAGCCTGCTTGCCGTAATGTGATGCAGCAAGAGGGAGAAGACCTTTTTCAACAAGCATTTCCCATTGTTCAGATGAGCTCTTGTTGGCGATAGCATCAAGTACGAAACGGTTGTCCTCGGTCCACTTGTCAAGAGCGATGAGAAACTGTTGTCTTTTTGAACCCTGCATAACAGATTGTACAAGTCGGTCGAAATCCCAGCGAACGTGACACTCTGCTTCTTGCCCTTCGTATCGTAGATTGTGCTCAATGAGCGCATAGACTGGGTGATGATCGACTCGACGCGTGTCAGGAACCAGCTGCAAACGATCCCCAAGAGAACGTAAAGTCTGACATTTGCGAACGTGCTGCGCCAAATAGAAACTGCGAGGCACAATGATGAAATCAATGTAACTTGAGGAGCCAGACACTCCATGATAATATGTGGGGAAGGTGGGGTAGAACGTGTTGAGTAAAATCAAGTCATGCTTGAGAAGAAACTCTATGAACTGATGGGTGCGAGGTTGCTGAAGACTCCTGTTAAAAGGCCCAGTGCAGGAATCGTCGGTAGGTGTGGGGCCCGCTGGGGTCCTGATGAGCCCGATATGCTCGTTAGAGTCGATGCCCAGCACAGGTAGTGTACGGGATGGTAGGGAAGAATAAAGTTCTTCAAGCCACGCCAGCGTTTTTTGATAATCTCGTCGGGATCTGGCCGTGTCCGTGTTGGGGGGGAGGTAGGCGGAGACGAAGGTGATGTCCGACTGGTGACTTTTGCATCTGACAGCGCCCCCCCGACCCCAGAGATACTGCTGCTTAGGGTAGGACACGGAGATGATGTTAGACCTCGAAAACCTCTGGGAAGCTAACGCGATAGTGACGCCAGTATGTGCATTGCCTTGTTTAGGATGATACCCAAAATGAAATTGATGGTATTCAGCAGAAGTATGTGTATCACATGGATCTTGTTCATGAACGCGACGACGTGTGCCCTGGATGAGTATGACGCTGGTGCGTAACGTGCGAGATATGTCGTGGAATCTGTCATGCTGCAGCATGCTGAGACAGTTGTAAGAGGAAAGGGAGAACGTGTGAGCGACCATGGTGCACGTGCGAGTAGAAAGCGAGTGCTCACCACCCGTATGCCATGTACGCGAGTATAGACGCGGATACGGTGACAGGTATGCCCAGCAAAAGGGGTGTGCTGAAATGGGCTGGCCACCTGGAGGAGGAGGAGGAGGAGGAGGACGAGGAGGAGGAGGAGGAGGAGGACGAGGAGGAGGAGGAGGAGGAGGAGGAGGCGGATGAGGAGGAGGAGTGAGGCGGTGGAAAGAGGTGGGGGAACTGATGACCTGCTGGCCTTCGGCCCATCGCGGACCACAGGCCCTTTCGGGGCTTCTCGGAGCCTCCTGTGGAGCCTCCTGGTGGTCTCAATGTTGATCATCCCTTTCCCCTCCGAAGGGCCTTCCCCTCGTTGCCGGCCTGCCCGCGTACGTCGCCGTACCGGAGAGTGCGGAAGCTGCCCTCCTGCAGGAACACGTCCGACGACCTGTCCAAATTGTCCGCCGCGTCGGTGCCGCCGGAGCCGCCCGTGCCCGCCTCTCTGCGGCCCCCATCAGCCGTGCGGAGGCGGACCGAGTGGTCCGTCACAGCACGAGGTTAGAACTTCGGAGTCCCGACTCGGCTCCTCCCCCTCGGCTGTCCTCCTCCTCCTCCTCCTGCTCCTGCTCCTCCTCCTCCTCCTCCTCCTTCTCCTCCTCCTCCTGCTCCTCCTCCTCCTCCTCCTCCTTCTCCTCCTCTTCCATTCCTCTTCCTTCTGAATAACTCCTCCCTGTCGCACCCCGACGCCACTCGGAAGGGCGGGCGGGGCGTTTCGCCTGAGACTTCCCTACCATGGGCCAAGGGTTTCACAAATGGAGGACGGACCGCTTCCAAAATGAGGCTCTCAAATTAGCGACGCCCGCATTCGGTCCGGATTGCGGGCAGGTCGATTTCACACTGTGGCTCTCGCTCAAGCGCCGCGCGCATTCGTCTCAAAAATCTGCAAGAGCTTGACAGATTGAGGGTGGGCCGTGTTCAAAATGTGGCTCTCGCCTCAGCGCCGCGCACAGTCGCCTCAAACAGTTGCAAGAGCTTCACGGATTGAGGGCGGGCCGTGTACAAAATGTGACTCTCGAGGCAGCGCCGCACACATTCGTCTCAAAAACTGGCCTGACCTTCGCGGATGGACCGCGGCTCCTTTCCAAAATGCGACTCTCGCCTCAGCTCTGCGCACAATCGCTTTCAACATTCGCAAGAGCCTCGCGGACTCTCATGGTTAATCTTCGGGGGATAGTGCTGCTCCGAACGCTTCAGGAGTGCCAGGACGCAACAATGACGTTGCTTCGCGATGCTGAAGTCGCAGAAAGATTGCTCTGGCGCGATTCAGGATCGTCATGACGAAACAGTCAGGTTGACTCGTGGCGCTGAAATCCTGAAAATGCTGTTTTGGCACGCTTCAGGATTTTCACCGCTTGTCTCACAACGGGCACTTCCATCAGTGGAAGTGAACCCTGATTTGGGGCCTATGAAGAAGGGGCTTGGAGGGAGGGTGTGCCCCAACATCGTTGATGAGTCTTCGGTTTGAGACTCCGCCTCCTCCTCCTCCTCCTCAGCCTCCTCCTCCTCAGCCTCCTCCTCCTCAGCGTCCTCCTCCTCCTCCTCCTCATCCTCCTTCTCCTCCTCGTCCCCCTCCTCCTCCTCCTCCTCCTCCACCTCCTCCTCCTCCTCCTCCTCCTCCTCCTCCTCCCCCCTCCTCCCCGTTCCCCCTCGTCCGTCCTCCTCCTCCTCCTCCTCTCCTCCTCCCTCCTCCTCCTCCTCCTCCTCCTCCTCCTCCTCCGCCTCTCCCCCCTCCTCCTCCCCCCTCTTCCTCGCGCGAGGCATCCTCTGAGAGCGACTCTAGGCCCAAAACCGAGTGGTGACCCCGAGACCCCCTTGACTCACCACCACACCGATTGGGGGTTCCCGAAGCCTCCCCTCCCCAGCTGTAGTAGGAGCCGGAGGTGTTGTAGAGCGGGTCCGCGACGCACTTGGCCAGGCGCAGCCCCGCCTCCTCGTTGCTGACGTAGGACCTCACGACCTTCTTCATCAGCAGAGGCCTGATGAGTGGGAGGACTGTGAATGGGGCCCAGGGACGCACATAGATAGACACAGATCCCACGATTCCCCACATCTCCCATCTTTCCTGGATGTTCGTCTTCTCCTGCACTTGCCATCTCTTCAACCTTTTGCCGTCGAATCGACGGATACTTGTCTGCTTGCCCCCACCGGGGACTGGCTCGAGGCTCGAGGTTTTCGGGCGCTTTCCTCGCCGAAGGCGTCCTGGGGGGTGTCTGGAGATCATCCCGAACGGCCGCTGGAGGCCCAAATTGTAACCCGAAGACCACAAGGGGAACCGCTCAGGGGGGGGAAGCATCGAGCTGGACTCGGCGACACATCGCCGACGGGCCCCCGATCCCAGAATTCCGACGCCGTGACTTTTTCAAGACGGGACCCCTGGAAGTTTCGACCAATTCCCCGGGACCGGTTCTTCGTCCCGAGTCGTGCTTTGACGGTCCTGAGGCCTGGCGAGGGCCCTGGGAGGCCAAAAACTGCGAAAAACCTCCGTCTTGATTTTTTCTCAGAATTCTTTTGGTCCACAGGCTCGCGAGGCGGGTCGAAAGCCGTCCGAACACTAGTCGGGCCGCGATTAGGCAGCAAGAAAAGCAAGGCAAACTAAGCGAGCTTTTTCTCGGAATTCGTGCAGCTCGCGAAAACCTCCAAAAACCGTGAATACGCTGGATCTCTGGGATATCGGCGCCGCACCGCCGGGGGGCCCCCGACAACGCATGTGCGCACGCCTCCCATGCAGGGTGGGCGACCGTATCATCAGGTCGGGCATGTCCCCCTGCAGGCGGATTTTGGACGACAAAAAGTTATACAAACAACCTACCCGAACAAACCCAAAAATAGCCCCCCCTCTCCTCCTCCTCCTCCTCCTCCTCCTCCTCCTCCTCCTCCTCCTCCTCCTCCTCCTCCCTCCTCCTCCTCCTCCTCCTCCTCCCTCCTCCTCCTCCTCCTCCTCCTCCCTCCTCCTCCTCCTTCCTCCTCCCCTCCCTTCCTCCTCCTCCTTTCTCTCCTCCTCTCCTCCCTCCTCCTCCTCATGTTCCCTCCCTCCTCCTCCTCCTCCTCCTCCTCCTCCTCCTCCTCCTCCTCCTCCTCCTCCTCCTCCTCCTCCTCTCCTCCTCCTCCTCCTCCTCCATCTCCTCCTCCTCCTCCTCCCCCTCCTGCTCCCTGACGCCCTCCGCCTCCTGCTCCTCAACGTCCTTGTCCTGCTCGTCGTTTCCGTCTGCAGGGTTGGCGGCACTGGCCTTAAGGCCTTCGCAATAAACCAAAAATATCAGGAACATCGTCCCCATACTATTTTGTGCCATCTATGAACATTCCTCCTGTAGAGGGACAGGCCCGACTGAACCGTACCAGGCCCCCAATCGGCAATGAATGGGCCATCGGAGATCAATACACTGCCCCCTGCGCCGCTCCCCCGTTCCCGGTGGTTTTCCGGCCATGCAGTCGGGGCGTTGACCTAAGGAACCCCAACTAAGGAACGAGGCCCCCTTCTCGGGGGGAACGAAAGGGGGGGATAGCAACGGTTGGGGTAGAGAATCAGCTCAAGTAGCTGATTTTCCCACCGCCTCCCGGCGCCGGGAGGGGCCCAGGTATCGAGGAATGGGCCTGGCGGCGGGGCCGAAACCAGCTGCATGCAGCATATTTCGTAACCCCCCCATTCCCTATCCGCCCCTTTCTTTCGGCCCGACTTTCTTCCATAAGTTAAACTTCGATTTCCCATCAAAAACCTAAGGAGAACCTGAGGCAAACTGTGAAACAATCAAGGAACACGGAGCCCCTCCCCAACGAACAGGGTTCCTTCTTCAGCTCCTCGACTGTAACTTGGGTCTCCAGCGGCCGTTCGGAAAGATCCAGGCATCCCCGGACGCCTCCTGGCGAGACGCAACCGCTGGAAGGCACCCCGAGCCTGGAGAGCCGTCGAGACCGTACGAAAGCTTACGAAAACGCGCGAAAACCTCGAAGCTCGACAACTTCGAACTCCGCCCTCAGCCCATCCCCCTGAACGCTGCCCCCGAGGGCCAGAACAGCCGGAACGCCGGGTAGTGCTCGCGGAACAAGCCGGTGTCGGTGATGCACCCCGGGTACAAAGACGTGAAGACGACCCCCGTGGACTCGTGGAAGCGCCGGTGAAGCTCTCGGCACAGCATGACGCAGCAGACCTTGCTGTCCTTGTACGCCTTCCCAGACATCCGGCGTCTCGATTTGTTCGAGACACGGGCCCCCGACCTCTCGACCATTTCCCTGGGACCGGTTTTTCATCCCGACTTGTTTTTTGACGGTCCCGAGGCCCGGCGAGGGCCCTGAGAGCCCGAAAACGACAAAAATCCTTTGTCTCGATTTTGTTCGAGACGCCCGATGTCTGGGTTGACATCACGACGGGGCACCGCGGCAGCTCTCGGCGTCCTGGGGCCCTCGCTGGGCCCGGGGGCCGTCAGGGAACGGCTCGGGACGAGGAACCGGCCCTGGAGAACGGGTCGGCCCTGAAGAACCGGCCCTGGAGAACGAGTCTTGAGAACAAATAAAGAATCGGGCGACCAGCAAGCGGGGAGGGGGGGGGCGAAAGGTGCGCCGTTCGTGCCATGGCGGTGCCCCCGGGGACCTCCCTTCATAGGCCCCCTCCCCCGAGAGGAGAAATTAACGGCACGAGCATCAACCTGGCCATCGCTCGGACGTCCATTCCCTGTGTTTTTTTTTCGGTTTCGGTGAGAACGTCGCGAAGTAACACGGACAACGACGACGACGACGGCGACGGCGACGACAGCGGTGACGACGAGGACGACAGCAGTGACGACGAGACGCACGAGGACGAAGACGACGACGACCACGAGAACGGCCGCGACGACGACGACATGACGACGACGCTTTCTCTTGCTCGAGCCTTCGCGCCGATGAACTTGCCACCGTCCACCATGGTTATTGGCTTCTTCATGCCCTGCTCCAAGCCCGCGAAGTCGCCCAAGTCGGCGAGCGGCGGGATCATCCCGCCCACGTCCTTCTCGTTGACGCTCGCCGTGACGGTGCCAAGGATGACGCAGCGCCCCGGCCCCGAGGAGCCCGCCTGGAGGTCTGGGAGAAGCAGATTGGCCTGGAGGAGCACAACAAAAATTAGAACACCCAAAGTGGCGCAAACATAAAAAACTCGGAGGTCCGCGCGGATTCCCGGGATCGGCGCTGGGGCCCCCCAGCGGCGCCTCCGGCGCCGCCCCTGGCGCGCTCCGCGCGCCAGTGAGGGGGTTCCAGCGCCGATCCGAGAACTCCGCGCGGAGCTCCGAGTTTTATGTCCATGCCACTTCTCGTTCCCCTAAAGATCCAGACGCAAACATTCCCAGATATCCGATGTCGAGGACGGCGTCCCTGGAAGTCCCGACCCTTTTTTTCCCCGGGACCAGTTTTTCGTCCTGAGCCGTTTTTGACGATCCCAGGGCCCAGCGAGGGCCCCTAGAGGCCAAAAACTTAGAAAAACCTCCGTCCTGATTTGTTCTCGGATTTCTTTTGGTCAACAGGCTCTCGAGGCGGGTCGAAAGCCGTCCGAACACTAGTCGGGCCGCGACTAGGCAGCAGGAAAAGAAAGGCAAGCTAAGCGAGCTTTTTCGTTGGAAAAGCACTGCGAATACGTTGGACCTCCGTCCTGATTTTTGTCAATACGTTGGGTCTCTGGGTTGCTGGAGCTTCACGCGGCGTCCGCTTGCTCCGCATCGAGCCTCGAGCGCGGGGGCAGCGGAGCCTGCGCGCGTCGCCCCGTCGCCCCCGGACGAGCCACGTCGCCGGCCGGGCCGGGGGCGCAGAGGAGAGATGCAGCATGCAACGAAACCCTCCACTGCACACGGAATCGGTGCTGGATTTCAGTCGGGCCTGTCTCCCTACAAGCCGATTTTGGGCGAAAGAATAAAAAGTACCTGAAACAATACCCTAAACATGCTCAAACATATAAAAACAAATCCAAAACTATTTTTGTGTATTTTTGAAGATCCCCCTGTAGAGGGACAGGCCCGACTTCAGGCCAGAGGCGCAGTGGAGAGATGCAGCGTACAACGAAACCCTCAGCTGCACACGGAATCGGCGCTGGATCCCCCTGTCGGCGCCCCTGGCGTCGCCCCTGGCGGGGAAGCCCAACGCCGATGCAAGACATCCGCGCGCGGCTCCGAGAGGTTATGCTTCTGCCTTCTGTTCCCAATCCCCACCAACACTCGAGCCTCCTGAATCGATGGGAGGCGTGGGCCGCGTTCGGGTTTCGCCGCGTGCTCGACGAGTTCAGAACTCTACCCCCGCCGCCCACCGAGTAGTTGATCGGCGAGGGTGGGTTCGGCTTTCGACACCGATTGCTCTTCGCGGTCCCGGGGTTGCGCGCTCGCACGGTACGCTCCGCGCGGGGCATCCGCTCAAGACGCCCCGTGTCCGCGGGGTCGCGGCCCAGGGGCCCGGCCCGCGAGGCCGCGGACGCGGATATGTTTTTCGCCCGCGACCTGGGCCACTGAGGGCACGTGTAACTCACTCGTGCGCCAGGTCTGGCCAGATGAAGCCTACCTTGGCGTCCACTCAGAATCCCGTCCCCCTGGCAACCACCGCGGTGATCCAAATACCGTTAGGTCGGGCATGTCCCCCTACAGGCGGCTTTTGGACGAAACGTTCAAAATAGTCAGCACATACTCAACATGGTCCAACAAATATTTAAAAAAAAATCGTCCCCAGACAATTCTTGGACTATGTTTGCATATGCCTCCTGTAGAGGGACAGGCCCGACATCAAAGTACTGGGCCGTGACTCGGGCCTCCAGCGGCCGATCGGGAGGACCCGAGAGACCCCAGAGAACGCCCGCGGGGCGAGGCGCAGCAGCAGGGAAGCACCCCGAGCCGAGAAAGCCTCCGAGGACCCATGCAAGCGCGGATGCGGATATGATTTGCGCCCACGGAATGGCCAGCAGGAGGTGGCCCAGGTAGGAGGAGTAGATGGAGGAGGCAGAAGAGAAGGAGGAGGGAGAGGAGGATGAGAAAGAGGAGGAGGAGGAGGCGAAAGAAAAGGAGGAGGGGAGGGGAGGAGGAGGGAGGAGAGAGAGAGGGAAGGGGGAGGAGGGGGGGGGAGGAGGAGGAGGAGGAGGGAGGAGGAGGAGAGGAGGGGAGGAGGAGGAGGAGGAGGAGGAGGAGGAGGAGGACCCTGCCAGCGAGACCGCGGGTACGAACCTGCTTTTCGCCCATGGGATGGCCAGCAGGAAGTGGCCCAGGTAGTTGGCGGCGAAGCTTAGCTCGAAGCCGTCGGCGGACCACCGCGGGCCCCCGCCAGACCACAGGCCCGGCAGGATGGCGGCCTCGCACCGACCCCAAGCATATCCGGGGGCGTCCAAGAGGGGAGCGTCCAACACATTCTCCTCCTCCTCCCCCTCCTCCTCCTCCTCCTGTCCCTCCTCCTCCTCCTCCTCCTCCTCCTCCTCCTCTCCTCCTCCCACTCGTCCTCCTCCTCCTCCTCCTCCTCCTCCTCCTCCTCAATCCTCCTCCTCTCCTGTTCCTCCTCCTGCACCTCCTCCCCCTCCTCCTCTTCCTCCTCCTCCTCCTCCTCCTCCTCCTCCTCCTCACCTCCTCGTACTCCGCATCCCCACTCGCCTCGTCCCCCCCGGCTGATGCGGGCTCCTGGCCAAGCCAGCTGGGGCCTGCGCCGCAGAGGGAGCCCCGAGCTTCGGCGGGGGCTCGCTCGGGGGAGACGGGGCGGGGGGGACGGGCGAGGGCCAGAAGCTGTGGGGAGGGGGGGGGCGTCCGAGAGCGGGGTCGACAAGGCCCCCTAAGATCTGCAGAGACACCGTGGCCCTGGCCACGACATCCCTCTCCCCCTGGCCCCAGTCGTGGCGCGTGGCTCCGCTCCGTGGGGCGGGAGGCGCGGGAAGCCTGGGGACGCCGACGCCTGGGGACCAGGATGTGGACAGCGTGTCGCTCCGCAGCGTGGTGGACCAGAACCGACGGAGCGACACGCTATCCAGCATTTCCCGACCGTCTCCCCACCTCTCAGGTCGATCATGCCTAAACGATGGTCAGTCTCAGGGGCTCTGATAAAACCAACATGCTGAAACATCAAAACGGATTTGCGTCGCCGTTTTCGGCCTCTAGAGGCCCTCGCAGGGCATTGGGACCGAACAAACAAAACTCAGGATGAAAAGCAGGTCCCCGCAAGTGGGTCGAGACTTCTGGGGAGCCCGCATTGAAAAAATCAAGACGTCGGATCTCTGGGGGTGCCCCTCCAAAAAACTTACAGAATCCTCAAGATCGGCACCGAGCCAAGGCGGTGCCAAGCACAGGGATAAGGATACGTCTCGGGCTGGTCAGGCCTGCTTGTCCGCGTTGGGGAAGTACACGGCAGCGTTACAGACGAGCACGTCCAACGGGCGGCCCAGGGCGCGGAAGGCGTCGACGAAGAGGCGGACGCTCTTGTTTGACGCGAGGTCCAGGTGCATCACCGTGAAGCTGTCCGGGCTCAGCCCGGCCTCGTTCGAGGGAACGATCGGGGGGGGGGGAGGACCCCAGGGGGGGAGAGGCACATCGCGCTGGACTGCGGGCGATGCATCGCCGACGGCTCGGCGATGTACCATCGAAAGCGTCGGCACCCGTCCCTGGGCGAGGAGGAGGAGGCGGAGGAGGAAGAGGAGGAGGCAGAAGAGGAGGCAAAATAAGAGGACGATAGGAGTAGGAGCAGGAGTAGAAGAAGAAGTAGTAGTAGTAGTAGTAGTCGTAGAAGTAGTAGTAGTTGTTGTTGTGGTTGCAGTCGTAGTGGTAGTAGTAGTAGTAGTAGTAGTAGTAGTAGTAGTAGTGGTAGTAGTAGTAGTAGTAGTAGTTGTAGTAGTTGTTGTTGTAGTAGGTGTTGTTGGTGTTGTTGTTGCAGTCGTCGTCGTAGTAGTAGTAGTAGTAGTAATAGTAGTAGTAGTAGTAGTAGGAGTAATAGTAGTAGTAGTAGTAGTAGTAGCTGTGGTAGTAGTAGTAATAGTAGTAGTAGTAGTATTATTAGTAGTAGTAGTAGTAGTAGTAGTAGTAGTAGTAGTCGTCGTAGTCGTAGCCGTAGTCGTAGTCGTAGTCGAAGTCGTAGTAGCAGTCGAAAAAGTAGTAGTAGTAGTAGTAGTAGTAGTAGTAGTAGTAGTAGTAGTAGTAGTAGTAGTAGTAGTAGTAGTAGTAGTAGTAGTAGTAGTAGTTAGTAGTCTTAGTGGTATTAGTAGTAGTAGCAGTAGTAGTAGTAGTAATAGTAGTAGTAGTAGTAGTAGTAGTAGTAACAGTAGCAGTAGTAGTCGTAGCCGTAATCGTAGCAGTAGTAGT